TGAGCAACATGGGCAACATGAGCAACATGAGCAACATGGGCAACATGGGCAACATGAGCAACATGAGCAACATCAACATGTGCAACATGGGCAACATGGGCAACATGAGCAACATGAGCAACATGGGCAACATGAGCAACATGGGCAACATGAGCAACATGAGCAACATGAGCAACATGGGCAACATGAGCAACATGAGCAACATGAGCAACATGGGCAACATGAGCAACATGAGCAACATGAGCAACATGAGCAAACATGGCAACATGAGCAACATGAGCAACATGAGCAACATGAGCAACACAACATGAGCAACATGGGCAACATGAGCAACATGGGCAACATGAGCAACATGGGCAACATGAGCAACATAACCAACATGGGCAACATGAGCAACATGTGCAACATAAGCAACATGGGCAACATGAGCAACATAGCAACATGGGCAACATAAGCAACATGGGCAACATGGGCAACATGAGCAACATGTGCAACATGGGCAACATGTGCAACATGAGCAACATGGGCAACATGAGCAACATGGGCAACATGTGCAACATAAGCAACATGGGCAACATAAGCAACATGGGCAACATGGGCAACATGAGCAACATGGGCAACATGTGCAACATGAGCAACATGGGCAACATGGGCAACATGAGCAACATGTGCAACATGGGCAACATGGGCAACATGAGCAACATGGGCAACATGAGCAACATGGGCAACATGGGCAACATGAGCAACATGGGCAACATGTGCAACATGGGCAACATGGGCAACATGAGCAACATGGGCAACATGTGCAACATGGGCAACATGGGCAACATGGGCAACATGAGCAACATGAGCAACATGGGCAACATGAGCAACATGGGCAACATGAGCAACATGAGCAACATGAGCAACATGGGCAACATGAGCAACATGAGCAACATGAGCAACATGGGCAACATGAGCAACATGAGCAACATGAGCAACAGCAACATGGGCAACATAAGCAACATGGGCAACATGAGCAACATGGGCAACATGGGCAACATGGGCAACATGAGCAACATGGGCAACATGGGCAACATGGGCAACATGGGCAACATGGGCAACATGAGCAACATGGGCAACATGAGCAACATGGGCAACATAAGCAACATGGGCAACATGTGCAACTTTGATCATATTTCACATTGGAGAGTCGGCGCAGCTCTTGGTCTTGATGACAACAGTACCGTGGAAACGGGTCTGCTCGGCCCACAGCATGACGCTTGACCAGCGTTTCATTCTCTACCAGGTTTTCTGATAGTGCAGAACCTTCAACTCAGCTGATTGACCCCTGCTGACCTCTGATCTGCAGTGGGCCGCCGATCCTCTGGCCCTGCAGGACCCCGCTCCTCGGCGGGTTGCTGGTTCCTCCGGGTCGGCGGAGCGGCGGTAGATTCCTCGGCTCACGTCCTCAAACACGACAAACATTTCCCAGACGCGGGATGTGTAGCCAGCAAGCTCCGTCACCTGCACACAACACCTGAGGTCAGCCGGCCGGCCGTGGGGCGGCCTGTCAGCGGGGGCGGGGCATGCTGACCTCCTTGTAGGAGCTCATGATCCTCTCCACGGCGTCGGCGGCGGCGTTCAGGAGGTTCCTGGCTGTGGTGAAGGCCTGCGTTCGCTCGCTGACCAAATCCTCCTCCTTCATCACTATGGCCGCCCGCTTCACCTCCTCAGAGTCTGCACACCAACGGTCAGAGATCACATGCTGCCGCAGCAGCCCCAGGCCCACCGTGGGGGCGGAGCTTACCATTTTTGGAGTATCCTGTGGCGGTGATGATGGGCACGGCCACCATGACGAGGCCGGACGCGCTCCAGACGTACTTCATGAGGAACTGCTCCAGCATGACGTACCAGAGCCGCTTCAGCAGGATCTGATGGATCTGAGATGACAGGGAGGCGTAGCTCCGCTGCAGCTGGGACAGCTCCACCTGCAAACCAACAGCGCTCAAACAGTCTGACAATCAAACACTCTTCTGTAGAAAGTGTTGTCGCTCAGCAGGGGGCGCTCACCTTGTGTCCGGCGTAAAAGGCAATCTCCTCTGAGTTGGCGATGATGCGTGAGTGCATGTAGCGCAGGTCTCCCTTCCTCTTCGCCTCCTCAGCCACCAGCTTCCCAAAGTGCGGCGAACAGGAGCGCAGCACCTTGGCGGTGAGCGCCACCACCAGGCCGGCGATGGCGGAGGGCCACGTGGTGTTGGCCCCTGCAGGAGGACACTATCAGGCCAGGTACAGGTGAGGATCAGGTGCTGCGGCGGCAGCAGCGTACCTTTGGACTGGGCGGTGCGCAGCAGCGTGTAGCAGGTGACCACCACGTCCAGGATGGGCTTGGTCAGGTTGGAGTACAGGTGAGCGACGGAGGCAGAGAACATGACGATGTCTTCGGTCAGAGACTGGTCCGGATTGGACAGACGGCCATCCATGTTGCTGATGCGGTAATACGTCTGTGAAGGAGCGGAGCTTTAGACCTGGAGAAGGTGGGTCAACAGGTGTACAGCAGGTCTCACCTGGTTGGTAAAGTACAGCTGGTAGGCGTGGCTGACTAATCGGCTCCTGAAGCTCAGGGTCAGCTGACCCTCCAGGAATCTGATGGCGCTATTGATGAACGTGGCAGGAACTGCGACGAGGAGCCACTTGGACAGTTGCAGCACGAAGGCGCGCGGATCTTTCTGCACGATGCACCGGACGATCATACCTGAGAGACCAAACCCGACAATCAGGATGACCTGAGACACTCTGGACAGACACAGGTAAAGACAGGTGAGGGCAGGTGACACAGGTGCAGACCGTCTAGAGACGCTACGTAGATGGACAGGAAGGTGCGGGACATCAGGGTGACGGAGTGCAGAGCGAGCAAGCCAAACTCTGGACACAGTAATCGTGGAAACAGGAGCTTCAGCAGGTGAGACAGTCTGAGGATGAAGTCTCTGTTGACTGATGGAGACCTGTAGACAGGTAGAGTCCAGGTGAGACCAGCTGCCGACTGATCAGGTTTCTCACATCGTCTCTTGTCACCTGTCCACTTTCTTCTTCTTGTTCTCATCTTCACCGCCCTCCACAGTGCTGACCACGCCCACAGGTGTTTAGCCCCGCCTCCCTGATCACCTGCTGCCCCTCTCTGGAGGAACAACACACTCAGTCACCAGGCAGTCTTCCCCTCACCTTTGACCTTCAGGTGTGTCTCACCTTTAGCCTCCTCCACACGTACGGAGACAGCTTTTTGACAGTGTAGGCAGCAATCAGGATGGCGGCCATCTTCCTGAGTCTGGAGCTCCGCCTCAGCCGAGCTGGCAGTTTCTCATTGGCCAGCTGCATGATGACAGCCAGCCGACCAATCAGAGCCTTGATCCTGAGAGCCTGACGCTCCACCTGTGCACAGGTAAGGAACGGCATCACCTGAAGCTCTCCCAACTTCTGCTGATAAAAAAGTAACTTTTACTTGAAGTCAAATGTAATGAGGTACTATTTCCTTTCCAGAACTTTTACTGGAGTCCGTTTCATGTTCTTTTCATCTCGGTGTTGTAATAAATTTCTAATGTTTTATATGTTAGATTGCTAATTCTAAGCTTGTGGATTGTTTATCGTTGCCATAGCAACTGTCATTACAGTCAGTTACAGATACCTACCAAGATGGCTGCCATCTACAAAGTTCGCAGAAGTATGACATAACGCCCTCTGGTGGAGGCTTAGAGCTCCATAACATCCCTTATCAGCTTCTTTGTTTCATGATTGCTTCATGTTTTTATTTTAAACGCGTTTGGAGACTGAAGCGTTGGACAAATGTCACCATGAAAAACGTTTCACATAAAATGTCAAACTTTTCTGACATACGTTATTTATCATTGTATGTAACTGATGTTCAATGTGTATTTAAAGACTTTGCATTAACAAAACATGAACAAAAAGAGTCTAGTGAGAAACATCACGACCCCCTGCAGTACCACCGGGACCCCAGAGGGGCCACGACCCCCACGTTGAAGACCTCTGCTCTAGCTTGACAAGAACTATACTGATTATCCCGGTGTGGGCCTGGTTCGGTTCCGTTAGTTCTTGAGATGACATTCCAAGTTCCGGTCCAGTTCCCACCGTGGGATAAAGCCTGACAGAAACGGGTCGGGTTCGGGAGAACCAGGAGTCGGACCGGAACTAACTGCAATGGTTCTGGTTCCGTCATTGATCCATGAAACATAACGATCACCGAACTTCTCGGAACTTCACGTCGCGCATCCGGACCGGAACCGGCCGGTGTTGGGGAAGCTAAAGCTAATGCTAAAGCTAACGGCTAATCGGAACTTTGATGTGGAAATATGTCCAAAACAGACAAAGTTCCCAGATCAGACCCGCTCCTCCCGAACAGAATCCGCCCGTCCGGGTCGTAGGGAGTCCCGCTGCTGCAGCAGAACCCTTACCTCATCGCCGAACCGGTCCGGAACGAGCTGCTGTCGGGAGAAAGTTTAGTCCGTGCAGCCAGTTCTGAAGCCGGTCTGACCGCCGCGGCTTGCCGCCGCTGTGAGGACCGGGTGTTACGCAACGAGCTGCTAAAGCTGAAGAACGTTCTCAGCTGTTCAAATTCACTGAATTTATTGTAACTCTAAAGAACGTTATTTAAGTATCACTGCAGGCAAGACACGTCACACACACACATTTAAAACTGTCCCGATGTTTCGGGAACGTTCTTTCTTTAATGAACATCTGGTGTCGTTCTCCTGGCTGAAGACCGTCAGGTGATTTTTCCATTCGGGGGTCCAGGAGCCGGAACCGGAACCTCTCCGAGGCTTTAATGTTCACATGATGTTCTGATCCAGAACAATAAGAAGCTTTGATCTGGTCCGGATTCGCTGCTGGCCCACAACCAGAGCAGCAGGGGGCGCTGGAGCGCTTTGACAAACTGGGCTTTCCATGAGAGCTGAGAACGAACAGAACAGAACCTCCTGGGTCCAATAACAGAAGCAGAGCAGAAACGTATTCACACATTTTATTTACACACAAAAACTACAAAAACATTCAGTCCATCTCAGAAGCTGCTGCGGTACCGGACGGGTCCGGTTCTGGAGCTTTCAGAACACACGTTCCTGAACGGGTTCTGATTGGACTGAGAACATGCAGCACACACACCGCCAGAACCGAACGGGATCCCGCTTCCTCTCCCGACCAGACCAGAACTCCTGCAGGATCCCAGCTGATACCGACTGGTACCGGCTGGTTATGGGCTGTCAGCAGAACCAGTATCAGGTCCTCGGGTTCTGCTCTGGGTAGGAAGCGCGTCCAGCTGCGGTTACACGACCAGAACCAAACACCTCAGTGGCCAACCAATAGGAGGGCAGCAGCATCAGAGTGGGCGGGGCTTGTCTTCATCATGACTGACTGAGGTTTTAACAAAAATGTTTCATCTTAAGAAAATTCAGATGTCTGAGCTGCAGCGACCCAGTAGACTAACTGGACCAGAACAGAACCTCAGGCACAGGTGAGGCGAACACAGCAGGTATGGAAAAGTACTGGCCCTACTCCAATGTTGACCCCGTAGCTAGGTGTGGTTGACCCCGTCGCTAAGTGTGGTTGACCCCGTCGCCAGGTGTGGTTGACCCCGTCGCTAAGTGTGGTTGACCCCGTCGCCAGGCATGACGCTGTTTTGTCGGGTTGGGATTCCTAAGCTATTCAATGGTTGTTGCCAGTAACTTAGTGGAGCATTGCCGCCATCTGCTGGTGAGGAGGGGGAACCAAAGGCTAAAAATAAACTCTCATCCTCTCATGTGTTTGAAACTAGAACGTCTTGGTATTTTTTTATCTTTTTAAAATAAATCAACAGCTCCAGACTTGGCTGTGAACACAAAACAAAGACAAAAAAACAAACAAAAATGTCTCCAGTGACAGAAATGAATCCTGACTGAAGTAAAAAAAGAGTCACAACGATTAAATTAAAATTACATTAAATGCCACGCAGCTACTTTGTCTCAAGTTTCTTGGAGAACACGGGTCCAGGTGTGGAACAGCACAGGTGCGTGTGTGTGTGAGGACAGGTGCGTGTGTGTGTGAGGACAGGTGCGTGTGTGTGTGTGAGGACAGGTGCGTGTGTGTGTGTGAGGACAGGTGTGTCTATGTGAGGACAGGTGTGTGTGTGTGAGGACAGGTGTGTGTGTGTGTGTGAGGACAGGTGTGTGTGTGTGAGGACAGGTGTGTGTGTGTGAGGACAGGTGTGTGTGTGTGTGAGGACAGGGGTGTGTGTGTGAGGACAGGTGTGTGTGTGTGTGAGGACAGGTGTGTGTGTGTGTGTGTGAGGACAGGTGTGTGTGTGTGTGAGGACAGGTGTGTGTGTGTGTGTGAGGACAGGGGTGTGTGTGTGAGGACAGGTGTGTGTGTGAGGACAGGTGTGTGTGAGGACAGGTGTGTGTGTGTGTGAGGACAGGTGTGTGTGTGTGTGTGAGGACAGGGGTGTGTGTGTGAGGACAGGTGTGTGTGTGTGTGTGTGTGAGGACAGGTGTGTGTGTGTGTGTGTGTGAGGATAGGTGTGTGTGTGTGTGTGTGTGAGGACAGGGGTGTGTGTGTGAGGACAGGTGTGTGTGTGTGTGTGTGTGAGGACAGGTGTGTGTGTGTGTGAGGACAGGGGTGTGTGTGTGAGGACAGGTGTGTGTGTGTGAGGACAGGTGTGTGTGTGTGTGAGGACAGGTGTGTGTGTGTGTGAGGACAGGTGTGTGTGTGTGTGTGTGAGGACGGGTGTGTGTGAGGACAGGTGTGTGTGTGTGTGTGTGTGTGAGGACAGGTGTGTGTGTGTGTGTGTGAGGACAGGTGTGTGTGTGTGTGTGTGAGGACAGGTGTGTGTGTGTGTGAGGACAGGGGTGTGTGTGTGTGTGAGGACAGGGGTGTGTGTGTGAGGACAGGTGTGTGTGTGTGTGAGGACAGGGGTGTGTGTGTGAGGACAGAGGTGTGTGTGTGTGAGGACAGGTGTGTGTGTGTGTGTGTGAGGACAGGTGTGTGTGTGTGAGGACAGGTGTGTGTGTGTGTGTGTGAGGACAGGTGTGTGTGTGTGAGGACAGGGGTGTGTGTGTGTGTGTGTGTGAGGACAGGTGCGTGAACACTGATTCTCAATAAAAGTTATGTCCTGCATTAAAAACATCATTTCAGTAACAAAGGTTTGTATAAAATCAGATGACATCAGATCTGTAGAAACAAGACCAAACAGTCAATTGATGATGAAATCAATCACCGCTGTGACATCATTGTCTGATTGTCGTTCTGATCATTTTTTTGTTCTGAAGTTCTTAAATGTGAAACCCGAAGCTCCTCTTATTGCTTCTGACTAAACCTGCTTCCTGATTACGACCTGAAGTTAACCGGGCCCAGGACCCGGACCCAGAACTCAGGTCCTGACCCGGGTACAGATGAAGATGGAGGTCTGGATCCGGGACAGAATTTCCTCCAGGTTCTAATGACATTCCTAAGTTGTTGGAGATCTGGATTGTGTCAGAACATTCTCCTGGACCCGGTTTCCCTGAAGAACTTCTGGATCTCGAGTGTCTGAGCCGGCCAGAATCGGGCCGGGCCAGTCCTGTTGCAGGTCCAGTCTTGCTGGTTTGAGGATGAAAGTCAGTGCTGGATTCATAGTGCATGGATTCTGAGTCCAAACTGCAAAGGTACCTGATGCTTCCGGTCTGGACTCACCTGAGGCTTTAATAGGTAGACGCCTGAGCTGATCAGGGCTGGTGATGTCAGCTGGTGATGTCAGAGACCAGGTGAGGCTCTGTCTTTGGGGGGTGCAGATTGTCTGAGCAGAGTCTGAGGACCAGGAACCCAGAACTTGGACCAGTTGGCGCTCCACAGTCCTGCTGTGGCGATACGAGAACTGGCTAATGGGAAACTTTCCAGACCAGGAACCTTCAGAAGTGAGGCACTCTTGCCCCTTGGTGTAGGGTTCCTTCTTGACCCAAACCAGTGACTCCAGTTGAACGCTGTTCCCTCAAACAGCGGTAAACCATCGGTCCTCTGCTGAGTTCAGGCAGGTCCTGGTTCTGGTTCGTGACTCCTCCAGAGACCACCGAACACTCTGATGAGGAGATGGTCTTCCTTAGTGGACCCTCTCAGGGGAGATGAAGGTCTTTGCGAGGCGAAGCTGTCTTTAAGGTGCATGGGGCGTGTGGGTGCTCAGCTAGTCTCTGAACAGGGTCATCGTCACCCAGTCACAGAAGGCCCAGAGAACCGGTTCCGTCCAAGTCTCTTCCTCTGATTGGCTGGTGATCAGACCAGAGTCCCAGGAGACGGCTGGTCCACCGCCAAGTCTCTGAGGGGAACTTCCTGTTTCTGGGACGGGCAGGAGTCCTGGTAGAGCGAGCTGTCCACAGACCTGACACAGAGAGGGAGAGATGGCTTCTGGTTTCATTTTCGGCTCACATTGATGTGGAGAAAACTCAAAAATAGTCTTTTGGCCCGCAAAGCAAGGCATTGTGGGTGATGAAGTTGGTGGCGGACCCCTACCTCCCGTGCAGCGGATGTCCGTGGAACGTGGCGGAGTGCGGCAGCGTCTGCTTGTGATGCGGCGCGACATAGTGATGATTCTGATAGGTCGACTGTTGGAGGACTTTGTGGGCCGTGCGTCTTTGCTGCTGGGCGCCAACCCCTCCGGCCTGACCTTTGACCCCACCGCTCGGCTTAGTGCTGGCAGTTGACAAGCCCTTTCCGCAGGCCTGGTTCTGGTGGCTGGATCCTAAGGTGTTCCTCAGGTACCAGTCCCTCAGACCTGTGAAGAAGGAATCAGACAAAGTCACACCTGCTGACCTTGTTTAATCCACCAGGTGGCGCCAGTCGGAGTTTTGTCCTGTTGCCTTACCCTCCAGGGCCAGGGCCTTGTGGAGGCTTCGCGTGGCCTCCTCCAGCTGGGAGTCCTGCTGGGGGGGCAGCTGCGGCGGGCGGGGGGGCAGCAAGTGGGGGTGGGGGTCTGGCTGGATGGTGGGCGGAGCCTGTTTGGTTACGTCACTGTGGTTCTGTTGCACTGGCAGGAACGGGCCACAGGACTTGGTGCGGGTGACGGTGACTCTGCGCTGGTCGCCGTGGTGACTGCGGTAGATGGGCGGGGCTCCCCCGGGCTGCTGGGCGGAGCCGGCGCCGTGGACCGGCCTGCTGGGCTGCGACTGCTGGCGCTGCAGCTGCCGCTGTTTCTCCCAGACGTAGTCCAGCAGAACCTCGCTGTAGCCCCCCCCTCGGGCCGCGGGTGGTTTCTGCCGCGCCGCTCCGTCAGCGTCTCAGAGCTCCAGAATGACCCGGCCGCGTTGGTTCCCCTGGAAACAGTGGCTCCGTTAGGACGCGGCGCCCCCTGCCGCGCCCCCTGCCGCGCCCCCTGCCGCGCCCCGCCTTCGTCCTCCAGGGAGGTGCTGTGGGTCAGGAGGCTGTCGGAGCCGTTGCTCTGGCGAGACGCCCGACAGCCCGCCTCCCGCCCCGGGTCGGAGGAGGAGGAGGAGTCCTGGGAACGGGGCGGGGGAGGGGGCTTGGTATTCTCAAGGTGTTCAGTCCTGAAAGGTCAGAGGTCAGGTGGTGAGAAACTCTTCCGATTGGCAGGTACCAAACATAAAACTAACTGGGCAAACTAGTCATATGGGTTAAACTAGTTAACCCATATGACACGATCCGCTCGGGTCAGGAACCGGCAATCGGGTCACGGAGGTCTGGCGTACCTGCTGAGCACCAACGACTTCTTGGGTTTGTTCTGGTTGAAAACATCCACAGGAGATCCAGCAGAAACCAGCAGGGGGCGACACTGAGACCCAGCGTTGTCTGTCAACACAGAGACGATCCACATCAGCACTGAATCCTGCCAGGACTTTACCGACCGTCCGTCCGTTTGTCTGTCTGCTGAGAGTTAGGCCACGCCCCTTTGGTTCTGAGATCCCAGCTATCGGTTCTGGAAGCTGTCTGGGTCCGTCCCGATAGTGAGGATGATGTGATGCTCGGTGATGTTGATGGTGGAACGTGATGTCACGTTGCTGCTGGTTCTTGCAGGACCAGCAGCCAGTGCAGCTACTGTTACCCATCAGGCAGTTCCTAAATTACCCTGAGGGGGCGCCACTAGTGACATCAGCTGCTTCATCCTGATGGTTACAAAACATCAGACGCTGTTGGGACATTTTGTTATCCCAAAACCAGAAACCCTGCCTGTGTGTGTGTTTGTGTGTTTGTGTGTGTGTGTGTGTGTGTGTGTGTGTGTGTGTGTGTGTGTGTGTGTGTGTGTGTGTTACCGTTGTCGTTTCCTGCTGAGTCTGATGTGGAGCTGCTCTCTGATCTCACCGTGTCGTCTGGAAAAGCACAAACACTGGGATTCAGGATGAAGGCAGGAAGAGCCTTTGCTTCTAGAAACAATGGTGTGTGTGTTTCCTGTGTGTGTGTGTGTTTCCTGTGTGTGTGTTTCCTGTGTGTGTGTGTGTTTCCTGTGTGTGTGTGTTTCCTGTGTGTGTGTCTTTCCTGTGTGTGTGTTTCCTGTGTGTGTGTGTGTTTCCTGTGTCTTTCCTGTGTGTGTGTCTTTCCTGTGTGTGTGTTTCCTGTGTGTGTGTTTCCTGTGTCTTTCCTGTGTGTGTCTTTCCTGTGTGTGTGTTTCCTGTGTGTGTGTGTTTCCTGTGTGTGTTTCCTGTGTGTGTGTCTTTCCTGTGTGTGTTTCCTGTGTGTGTGTCTTTCCTGTGTGTGTGTGTTTTCCTGTGTGTGTTTTCCTGTGTGTGTCTTTCCTGTGTGTGTGTTTCCTGTGTGTGTGTGTTTCTTGTGTGTGTCTTTCCTGTGTGTGTGTTTCCTGTGTGTGTGTGTGTGTTTCCTGTGTGTGTGTGTTTCCTGTGTGTGTGTTTCCTGTGTGTGTGTTTCCTGTGTGTGTGTGTGTTTTCCTGTGTGTGTGTTTCCTGTGTGTGTGTTTCCTGTGTGTGTGTTTCCTGTGTGTGTGTTTCCTGTGTGTGTTTGTTTCCTGTGTGTGTGTTTCCTGTGTGTGTGTGTGTGTTTCCTGTGTGTGTGTGTTTCCTGTGTGTGTTTCCTGTGTGTGTGTTTCCTGTGTGTGTGTGTGTGTTTCCTGTGTGTGTGTTTCCTGTGTGTGTGTGTGTTTCCTGTGTGTGTGTTTCCTGTGTGTGTGTGTTTTCCTGTGGTGTGTTTCCTGTGTGTGTGTGTTTCCTGTGTGTGTGTTTCCTGTGTGTGTGTGTTTCCTGTGTGTGTGTTTCCTGTGTGTGTGTGTGTTTCCTGTGTGTGTGTTTCCTGTGTGTGTGTGTTTCCTGTGTGTGTGTTTCCTGTGTGTGTTTCCTGTGTGTGTGTGTGTTTCCTGTGTGTTGTTTCCTGTGTGTGTGTGTGTTTCCTGTGTGTGTGTTTCCTGTGTGTGTGTTTCCTGTGTGTGTGTGTGTTTCCTGTGTGTGTGTTTCCTGTGTGTGTGTGTTTCCTGTGTGTGTGTTTCCTGTGTGTGTGTGTGTTTCCTGTGTGTGTGTTTCCTGTGTGTGTTTGTTTCCTGTGTGTGTGTTACCTGTGTGGCACCCTCGGTGCACCGTCCTCTTGCCGTGGTGTGTGTGTGTGAGTGTGTGTGCCGTTCTCAGAGTCGCTGTGTTTCCTCAGCGCGGCGCTGAAAAGCGTCTTTCTGGGTTTGGGCCGCTGGCCTTCTTCTTCCTGCTTCACACAAACAGAACCGGGTCAGCCGACCAGCAGGGGGCGCTGCTTCATCAGAACCAGACTACGCCCTCCAGACAGAACCCTGGATCTACTTTAAACCGGGTGGTTCTACACTGGATCCACCGCTGGGTTCTGCTGGTTCTGGACCCGGAACAACAGAGTTTTCTGTTATCGGCTGTTTCTGTCTGAACCGATGAGAATCCTGGCTCACCTCCACTCGACACTTCCTGTTCCCCTGGTGGGTCGGCGCCGCTCGTCTGCGGACGCAAGGCGGCTTCTCGCCCGCCTCCAGGAAGTCGTTGGGCACCGCACCTGTCAGCTCCTAACCAATCAGAGCGCAGCACACAACTCAGCGCACACCGGCCGCACCGATCAGGCTTCGCTTCCGGCTGTGACATCACTCACCGCCTCCTGGAGGCAGATCCGCCTCAGCTCGGCCAATCGGACTCTCAGTAGCACCTGCAGGCTCCGCCTCCTCTCTTGCAGCTCTGCCATTCGCTCGTTTTGCTTCCTGCTTGGACAGGTGAGGGGCTGCACACAGGACACAGGTGAGTCAGGAAGCAGGGGAGACCAACAGATTTCCCCAACTGGTCTCTCTTACCAGGTGCTAAAATGAGTTGACCTTTGACCTCCATGGCATGAGCTTCCCATGTGACTCCGCCTCCTCGTCACTCCGGTCCTGTCTACAGACCCCGGCTCACCTGTGGAGCGCCACCCAGGTGTTCCTCTGCTACTGAGCCACTTCATAGACCCTGCAGTGGTTCTCACCTGCAGCCATCCAACAGGTGAGACTCAGGCAGCTGCTGCAGCTCCCATGGCGGCCTGGAGGGGGCGATCAACCTGAGAGCAAAACCACAGAAGAAGAAACATCAGGAGTTCTGAGTTTTCAGGGCAGAAAATCTGATTTTTCTCACTGAGGACTAACATGAACACACAAAGGAAACTTCTTCCAGATCAGAACCAGAACCAGAGAGGATCGAACCCGTCGGACCCGGTTCTGCTGGGCAGACAGATTCAACTCTGGATTAACCGTGTTGAATCAAAACAAGTAAAACTCCAACATGAAGAGCAGATTGGGTGTTACTGATCCCCTCTGAAGCGGTCCGATCACCCGGCGGCCCGGTTCTGCTGCCGCTACGCCAGCCGCCTGGGAACAGGAAGCTGGCAGCAGGAAACAGGAAGAAGGAAACGAGCGGCAAAGAGACAGGAAGAGAGAGAGCGAGGGAGGAGGGAACAGGACTGGGAATGACTGAACGGGTCAGAACCAGAACCTTGATCTGGCCCAAATGCTCCACAGCATGATCAGCCTGGTGGTTCTGGATTAACAGAACCAACAAAAACCTTTCTGTTTCCATCTCTGTTCCAGGACCAAGCTCAGTCTGTTTGAGTCGGGTTCTGATCAGGTTCTGGTCGGGTTCTGTCACTGAGATCATGGAGTCTCACCACTAAACTGTTTTATTATTGTTGTTGTTTTTCTTTCTTTTTTGTTAGCTGCACCCTGGGGGCATTAAGGCATTGGGCCAGTCAGCAGCAGTCGGGGGCATTGGGGCATTAGCCGCCCATAGATTCTGCCCTGCGGACTGGAAGCTGTTTGTGGTTTTTACCTTAAGGTGGCCTGCTGCCCCCTGCTGGCAGAAATGTTCCTGCTTGGGTCTGACCAGAACCAAAAGGCCCAAACATGGTTCATACGTCACAGGCTGAGCTGGATGAGACATTTATTTCCCAGAAACAATTTTATTAGGAAAATACCAAATGCATCAATCTAAATCTCAAAGCTTTTGCTTTTCAGGGTTCAAACAGAAATTCAAACAATATATCAGAACTCTGAAGTTAAAAACAATTAGAAAAGCCACTGAGACAAAGCATTGATGAACTCACTTTAACATTTTTCTAACTCAACTTTTTGCTTTGTTTCCTGACTGTCTGCAAAAGGAACAGCAATCTGTTCGCTTTGATTTGGCATAAACAAAATAAAGAAACTTGTGAAATGTGTTATGAAAACAATTAATTCACACAGCTTTTCTAAAAATCAAAAATTGTGAATTAAAGTGAAACTTTGACTCCAGAAAGGCGCCGGCAGTGGATCCAGGAAGTTCACAGTACGAAGCTCAGCCTGCAGATTATTCCCAGATTATTCCCAGATTATTCCCACATTCCCAGATTATTCCCACATTATTCCCAGATTATTCCCAGTCATGAAGTTTTTACTGTTATTTTTGCAGCCGATCCACAGAAACACGCGGCTTAACGGTTATGGTTGCCGTGGTAACAGTTGAAATTAACATAAATTTTTTTTGAAAAAACTGTTCTGATAAAAATAAGTTAGAGATGGGTCTCTGCAACTGGAACCAGAACCAGAACCATGAGGACCCAGAAGAGCTTCAGACTAAACAAAGAGAACCCGACTGGTTCTGGTGCTTCTGAATAGAACCCATGAGACAAAACCAGAACCTCCTCATAATAATCATCCAGAGACCCGTCTAGGCCCGGTCCAAACCCAGCAGAACCTCAGACACTCTACCCACTGACCCACAGCCTGGTTCTGAAACCGGGTCACTCCAGGTCTGAAGGAACCTCAGGGAAACGGCGACCTCACACACACACACACACACACACCAGAACCACACACAAAACACACACACACACACACACACACACACACACCAGAACCTCACACACACACACACACCAGAACCTCACACACACACACACACACACACACACACACCAGAACCTCTCACACACACACACACACACACACCAGAACCTCTCACACACACACACACACACACACACCAGAACCTCACACACACACACCAGAACCTCACACACACACACACACACCAGAACCTCACACACAAACACACACACACACACACACACACACACACACACACACACACATACACACACACACACCAGAACCTCACACACACACACACATACATACACACACACCAGAACCTCACACACAGACACACAGCTCAGAGGGGTGAAAGGTTATTGGTTGTCTGGCTGCAGCTCTCAGCCAATCAGAGCCCAGGACTGTTGCTGAGCAGAGAATCAGCCTGACCTACATCCATCACACAGCGCTTCCTGCTGCTGCAGCTCCTGCTGCTGCAGCAGCTCCTGCGCTGCAGCAGCTCCTGCGCTGCAGCAGCTCCTGAGCTGCAGCAGCTCCTGAGCTGCAGCAGCTCCTGCTGCTGCAGCTCCTGCTGCTGCAGCTCCTGTGCAGCATCAGACTCACCGCGAGGTGTTTACTGACCTCAAAAAAACAGACTGCTACACACTCAGAGCCTCCATCCGCAGCAGCAACATTCCAACCGCAGAACCGGGCTCACAATAACATGGGTCCAGCAGAACCCAGCAAACTGGCAGCCAGGACTGAATAGTCTGATTCTTCTGTACAGAACCAGAGCAACATGTGAAGGACGGGCGTTCTATTTGGGTCTGGAACCAGAAACTTGCCAAGAACTCTGCACAAAAACCACAGAACACTGAAGCACGGTGGTGAAGGTATGGTGCAATGGGATCCCTGTAAAACTAAAGATCACTTCAAAAAAATTAACCTTGAAACATTTTCAGATTTTAGAGCTGATGTTCATCATCTACCAATATATATTGGTATATTTGGTGTTTTTCTGGTTTAGATCTTGTTCTCGTCTTTTGTTCCTGTTTGTTTGTGTGTTTTAAATAAAGTTATAGGGGGGAAAAATAAAGAGTCTTCAAAATAAGAGCATGAATATTTCTCTAAAACTCGGTATTCTAAACTGAAACACAGACGCTGAACTTTATTCAGCTGGAAGTTAAGACGTAAATTTCAGAATTTATTTGGAAAAATCAGGGGCAAAGTGAAACTTTCAATGCTAGCTACAGCGCTAAGCTAATAGTTTAGCATATTATTGCTTTACAGAAGGACAAACACGTCTGGTTCCAAGCAGAACCACAGAGTTGGGTTTGCACTTGTACTCCACCAGAACTGGTGCAGTTCAGCAGAACCAGAACCAAGTGGACTTCGTCAGTTCTGTCTCCGCCCAGAACATGGATTAAAACCGATCCTGAAAACCCGTTTGGACCTCCAGCTGGAAACAGAACTTCTCCTTAGAGTTGAGATCAGTCTGTCAGGGCCAGAGGTTCTGGTCTCGGTTCCTCCATTTGGTACCTAGTAAGGTTGAACAGGTAAGAACCCAAACTGGATCGGTACCAAACGGTGAGCAGATTGTCTGGGTGAGTTTTTCACTCTGTTTTGAGAAACGAACTTCTTCAGTGCTGGAAGTAAATAAAGTTCTGTGAACCGAACTGCAGGCTGGGTTCTGGCGGCCTCCACCAGAACTGCGCCAAACTGGGATCAGAACCAGTTTGGTTCTGGGATCAGAACCAGTTTGGCCCAGCATGTGCACCAGTTTATGCTAGACAACACCGACAGATCCAAAGTAAAGGAGAACAGAGGGGAACATTTACAGATCAGAAATACTAACCTCTGGCACCAACTGGGCTTGGTTCAGGTTTCTGTTAGAGGAGATTGGACCCAGGTCCCTGAGACTCCTTCAATGGGCGCGACCCTCGACCATCAGCAGGTGGACGGAAGGTGATGTGGGAGGAGCTTCCATCCTAAACAGAGATCAGAATCAGCCAATAAACTACCAGCGTGAGAGCGGCAGCCGGGCCCGTCCTTCCTGGAACCTTTGAGGTCCAACTCGAATGATCTCAGGAGATATAAGATGCTTCTCACTGAGCCAGGTTCAGAACCTCTGGGTCCCGATTCATCACGGTCTATACGAGCCTGAGGCGGCCTCCTCTACCATCAACCCAGTTTTGGATGAATCCTCCCACTCACTGGTTCTGGTACCTCAACCAAAGGTACAAGAACAGTCATGAGAAAGTAAATCCAGGACTCTGCTCCATCCCAGACACAACGGTTTCCACAGCCTGAATACCTGCCAATCTGGTGATTGGACAGCGCTGTTCTGTTTCCCCACACAACCGACCCGGACCTCCTGGTCCCCCATCAGGTATAGGTCCAAAGCTCAAGGTACCATCGGGTTAGGGTGGAGCTGCTGGCGTCGCACAACGCCGACGACGGAGAAACATTGCAGCTGTGGAAGTGCGTGGAGTTTGTCATGGTGCTAGCATGATGCAACCCTTCATGTTTGGGTTTGGTCCCGGTTCTCCTGAATACGATGGACCACAGAACCGCAGCACTCAGTGGGCCAGATGCGGCTGTCCAAACGGAGCAGTACCAGCAGTAACCTCTGGGGCGGCGTGGTACCGCAAAAGCCAGCAAATAGAATAGCGAAGAAGAAAAGAGCAGAAACGCCAGAACTTGTTCTCCGAACTCTGTGGACCGACGAGCTTTTGTTCCGGTTCTTTTGTTCCGGTTCTTTCCTTCCGGTTCTTTTGTTCCGGTTCTTTCCTTCCGGTTCTTTTGTTCCGGTTCTTTTGTTCCGGTTCTTCTGCTAATGAAAGGAAGGAGGTGGAGCCCGGTTCTTGTTGTCATGGTGATAGTCAGACACAACAACCAGACCATAATTATTTCATCTTCTAACCTGCGGCTTAGGCCATGATGGGCTGGCCCACCGGAACCAGAACCCGGGTTCTGCACATCTGGGCCACGTGGCCGCAGGCTGCTCTCTGATTGGCTGTCGCTGCTCTGGGTGAAGTTTGGTGTTTTTACGTCAATCAGCTGATTCCACATGTCAACACAAAGACCAGCGCAGGTTGGGGTCACGTCAGCCGCGCAGCCAATCAGTGAGCAGGAATCCAGGCTCACCTGTCGGTTCTGTTCGGTTCCTGCAGCTGGATCTGGATCAGCCGCCGAACCGGAAGCTGCCCGCTTCCATTTGGACTCAGAGAACCGAACCTCCGCCCCCTGTAGTTTGACCCGGGTCCTTCCCTCAGCTCGGTTCGGTCTGGTTCGGACTCCGAGCCGAACTTCAACATAACAACCACCGCGGCTCGTGCCGCTCGGCTGCCGCGCGGCGCCGCTTCAGCCCGCAGACTTTTAACGGGAGTTCCGGTCCAGCATACCTGGGTCACCTGCAGCTCCGGTCCGGAGAGCAGAACCGGTCCAGAGAACCTGAGAGTTCTGATCGATCAGCTGGGATCCATGCTCTGGTCGCTCTTCATCGTCCTCCTCTTCATCATCCGCAACATCAGCAGCACGAGGCGCGCTCCCGCCGCGGACACGCACACGCCTCGCCCATGCGCGCGCATGTGCGCCTGCCTGCCAGCAGCAGGTTTCTGCTTTCTTCTTCGTGTGTTTGGGTTTCTGCTCGCCAACACCGAGCAGAACTTCCCTGTTCGGAACCGACGGACCGGAAAGACAAAAATAAAAACGCGATGAAATATGAACCTGCAGAAAAACCGATGGAAACAAAAACATCTAAAAAACAATCTGGACCCAACAGAACTTCTGCAGACTTTCTCTGCTTTCATGGCTCCATTTGTAAAATTCAAAAATACTTTATTGATCCAAAGGGAAATGAAATGTTGTAAATCATTTATTGAGATTCTAATTGAAGATGCTGCTGGCAGGAAGGATCTCCTGTAGCAGTCTGTGTTACAGCACCTCTGAACAAGCCTCTGACTGAAGACGGGCCAGAACTTTATTGATTTTAAAGAATCCTTCTTTGCATCATCATCACCAGAGGATCCACAGACAGAACCACAACAGAACCACAACAGAACCACAACAGAACCAGCCTTCTTATTCAGCCTGTTGAGCCTCTTCAGCTCCTGGTTCTGGTGGTTCTGATGGTTCTGACAGCAGATCCAAACCCTGAAGGATCTCCTCTTCCTCCGTCTCCATCCAGGTTTTTATCTTCCTCCACTTCTTCTCCCATGATGGGGTTTGACCTTTGACCCTGTTCCTCCTGAAACCAACAATCACATACTTTGTTTTGTTCACATTTCAGATGATTTGACTGTTCCCTCCGTGACCCGAAGCAGTCCACCAGCTCTCTGTACTCAGCCTCTGATAAACCATCACCTGCAGAGTAATCTGAGTATTCCTGTAATCTGGGTATTCCTGTAATCTGGGTATTCCTGTAATCTGAGTGTTCCTGTAATCTGAGTATTCCTGTAATCTGAATATTCCTGTAATCTGAGTATTCCTGTAATCTGAGTATTCCTGTAATCTGGGTATTCCTGTAATCTGAGTATTCCAGTAATCTGAGTATTCCTGTAATCTGAGTATTCCTGTAGATGGCAGAAGCCAGACGCTGAGTCAGCAGGTGACGGTTGAGGCTCCGCCTCCCAGAGCAGATCAGGCTGAATCCTGTTAAATTGTTTTATGAGGCAGGTTAAGATGGCGTCTCCATGGCGATAAGCAAACTGACCGGGTTTCTCTCCAGGACCTTCATGATGTGGGTTGTCATGGCTACAGGTCTACAGTCGGTGAGTTTTCTGTGGTACCGGAACCAGGCGGGTTCCGGTACCACATCAGCAGAACCTTCTTTTGTGTCGGGTTGAGGTTGAAGAGATGCTGCAGAATCCCACAGAACCGCTCTGCAGCTTCAGGCCTTCAGAACCAAGACCATCTGGACCTGGTTCCGGTTCCGTCTCTCCAGCTGCCTCTTCTGGACCAGAACCAGATCAGGAGGAGCAGCAGCTCCTGATCCGGTCGGAGTCAAACTAGTGGAAGCTGAAGATCCGTGACTGAGGAGGAAGTTAGAAGATCAGAGGTTTGGCTCCGATCTTCTAACTCAGGAAGCTGAGGTCAGAGGAAGGAGGGATGATGATGATCCTGAACCTGTCTGAATGTCTTCAGCTCTTTTGCTCCTTCCAGGCTTCCATCCACCTGATCCACCTTCTGCTTGCAGCCTGAGATCTTCTTCCTTCCTGATTTGGTTCCTCTGCAGTTTGTCCTCCAGGTTCTTCCTGTTCTTCTGTCTCTAATCTGGACTGCAGCTGCTTCTGTTCCCCGTCATTCTGCTTCCATCGCTCTGCTCTGGCGGCGATGCTGCCGTCCACACAGCTTCCTGTCGGTCATGGCTCTGATGTCATCTCCATGAGGCTGGCAGAGAGCAATCCAATCAGTTGCTTCAAACAAGCCTGGCGGGCCTCTTCTGCTTCCTGTCACCATTTCCTAACAGCCATCTTGTTAACGGGGAGCGTCTTCACAAATTAAGAGTCAAAAATTATTAAAACATGGAGGTTAATTTTTCAGTAATATTTAATTAGAAAGCTAAATATTTTGTTTATATTTTAGTTTCTATTAGAAACAAAATGTAGCAAGCTAAGTATTTATTTTGTACTTAGCTTATTATTTTGTATTTAGTTTACAAAATCGTAATATTTAGCTAGCTCAAAATAAATAGCTGAAATGCAAATTCACTTCCTGCTAAGTGGATTTTCAAAATAAAAGCTGGCTGCATCATTGTTGCAGTAGATCAGGGCTGCTAATGATCGATTACTAAACTTCTGTACCGTCTTTAAAATGGCTCAGCTGAAATATTGGACAAGAGGAAAATAAACGAAGAGGTAACAAGAAACAACTCAAGCAGTTATTAAAGACTTTCGGAAGACCCGGCTTTTATCTTGGTAATTCACTTCCTGTTATCAGCCAGGCTTAGCTAAATATTCAGCTAATATTAGCAAATAAACAATATCTTACTGAATTGTGACAATTTTGAATTAAAAATGGAAATACAACTGAAAAAATATTTCTTTTGACATGTTCAATAAATTTGATCTGGGACTGTGAACCTGGTTCTGACTCGGGTTGGACTCCGATCAGCAGCAGTCAGTCCCAGAATGTTCTGGGAGTATCTGGAATATGATCCTGCTGATTGCTGCACCTGTTCAACACAAGCCACGCCCATCTACAGGTGCGAGCACAAATCTGACTCCACACAGCCAATAAAAATGCTCTAAAAAATCTTTATTGTTTCAGAGAATATTAAACATCAGCACGAGCGGACCAATCAGAGCCCTCCGTCAACAGAAAGAAAACCGAAAACTTGTTTTTATTAAAGCTTATGAAAAAAAAACATTTTACAGCAGAGCCCTGCCCACAATCAGGCCCCACCCACATTCGAGACTCCTCCCACTTTAGGACGTCAATCATCTCAGGCTCCGCCCACTAAACACCAGAATTCAAAGAAAAGGTAAAGTTCTGACCCAGGGGACGGCACCTGAACACACCTGTTGTCTTTACGCTCCGCCCACATCCGGCAGGGAGCTTGACAGTTCTGAACTGAACGGATCCGGATCCAACATTCAAGAAAATTCTGCCTCTGGTGTTTTCATGGTTTACAATCAGGAACAGAAACGGAGCAGGAGGGAGCCGGTTCTGGCTCTTCACATTGTGTTGGGTTGGTTCTGAAGGGGAACAGAGTTTGGACCAGAACCTCACAGTATGATGGAGGAGCTCCAGAACCTGCAGAACCATCAGCGCGTCTCATGGGATGCTGTAACTGGACCCGAGTAGAAATGAGTCGGAGGAGTTTCAGAACCTCCGGAGCAGCTGCCGGTTGGGTTTGGACCTTCGTCACCATCCGCCGTCGGTCTCAGCTGATTGATGAAACCAGAACCGAGGTCCGGTACCTGTGAGCTCCGGTTCCAGTGGAGCATGTTGAGTTGTTGGCGACCATCTTTGTGTCAGGCGGGATTCTGGGATGCGGCGCCGGCTCTTACATTCCCTGAGAAGCTCCACTTCTCTTCGGCGCCGGCTTGGCGTCTTTACCGGTTTCTATGGAAACAGAAAACAGACATTATGAGCACCGACACAGTGAGGCAGAACTCCTCCGGTCCGGTTCTGGTTCTGACCTTGCAGCCATCGGACCTGCGTGGCCGGCCCGTAGCCCTTCTGGTTGCGGGCGGCGATGCGGAAGATGACGGCGGGCTTGGTGGTGTAGTCGATGTGCGCGTTGGCCAGGGTGGAGGCCTGAACCAGGCAGCACGGGTCAGAACCACAGTACACCCTCATGAAGGCCAGCTGGGCCGGGCCAGAACCCGCCGGCCTGGCCTGGCTGGACTGGATGGCCAGGTACACCGAGTACTCTGTGATGCTCCCCGCGGTGACGGCGGGCGGCTCCCAGGTGAGCTGGGCCCCGCCCAGGTTCTGGAGGGACAGGAACCGTCAGGACAGGACGCCCCCTGCTGGCGGCACCGCGGGTTTCCATGGTAGCGGCAGGAGCTCACCTTGCTTATCTTGATGGCGCACGGCGCTCCAGGGAACCCGGGGAGGCACGTCTTGAACGCCGCCACCTCGGAGAAGGCGCCGCGCCCGCAGATGTTGATCCCTGCCACCCGGAACTTGTAGGCGGTTCCCGGCTGAAGCTCCACCCTCCTCATCTGGCTGTAGTCCGGCGCCGGCCCGGAGTCATCCTGCAGGTACACAACACCCGTCAGCATGACGGCGACTCCATCGGCCCCGGACCCGACCGGTCCGTACCTCCGCCACGGCGTCGTCGTTGTCATAGGGAACGTAGTAATGAGTCACAACGGCGTTGGTGACCTTCATGATGCCGACGTCAAACCACGGCTTCTCCTTCGGTGCAGCCTTCACACGACAGGTCGGCTCCTGAAACAACAACGCCTCAGTGTTTGTCGTGTGGTGTTAGCGAGGCGTTAGCGTGGCGTTTGGACAAACGAGCAGGACGTTAATGAAAGGACGGCGTGTTCCTGGACCGCCAGCCAGCCGCTGGTGACCGATGTGTCGATGGCATTGCTGTGTTCAGGCAGGCAGTTAGGTGTCTCTGTTAGCGTGTCTCTGTTAGCGTGTCTCTGTTAGCGTGTCTCTGTTAGCGTGTTATATGTATGTTCCTGGCATGTGAGACGCTGTGTCAGCGTGTTCAGGGTGAGTTGATGGCATCTTGTCTGTGTTCTTGGCTCCATGTTGATGGAGTGAATTATGGTTCTAGTTATCATGATTCTCATCTGGGTCTTTGGTTCTGCTGTCTACCGGTTCCGATGCGTTTCCTATCGTCTTACAGGAGGCGACTCGTTGATGCCGTTGGTGGTTTCTGTCGGCATAGCGACCGTCGTGCTCTTGGTCTCTGTCACCAAAGGGGCGGGGCTGAATGTGCTGGCCAGCCTGGCGACGGCGTTGATGACGGCGGCGGCCGGCTGGGAGGCGTGGCTCTCTGCGGTCGGTCGTTCAGGCTGTCGGCCGGGGCGAGCCCCTCTGCAACAGAACCAGAACCGGGCTGAGCGAGTCCAGGTTCCCCAGCCAACGCAGAGAGACCTGTACCCGACTCTACCTGTGGGCACGCTGCTGGGTTCTGGTTCCGGTTCCTGCTGCTGTTGGACCATCGCCGCCAGCTCCTCCGGTGTCAGAACGATGCGGACGGGCTGCTCGCCCGATTGGCCGGCCTCACCTGCGGACACGCGGCATGTTTAGAGACGGCGGAGGCGGCGGAGACGTCTCTGTCCTCTCGCAGTTTTACCGACGGTCCTGGCTGCTCCCTCAGTCGCCAAGGCGACGGCCATCCGGTCTGGGACCCGTCCCGTCGTCAGCGTGAAGGTCGTCGTCCTGGAAATCTCCTCGCCTCCGTCCCCCTCTGATGACATCAGCTGCTGAGGAAGACCTCCGTCTGAGGACGCCATCTGGGTCGGGGGCGGAGCCAAAGTTAGCGTGCGCACGCTGCTGTTACCTGCTGCTGCACCACATTCACCTGAACCTGCAGCGCCGACAGTCCTGATGACATCATGCCCTCTGATTGGCCGTCTGTCATTGCTGGCTCCTCCTCTTCTCCTGTTTGCCATGGCGAGGGTTTCAGAGGACTCCGACCTCTCAGCACCAACCAATGAGGAGAGATTCTGCAGAGAGAACCAGACATCAGAACCGGGCCAGAACCTGCCAGGTCGTCCAGTCGGTATAAGGTGAGCTTGCAGGCTCCGCCCCCCACTGGGCAGGTGTGTCTAATCAACAACGGGTGATGGACGTACCGGGACGGACGGACCCGGGGTGGGCGTGGCGTGCGTTACTGTGGTAACCGCTGTGCTCTGACTGATGGCAGTATCAGATGAGGGGCGGAGTCTGTGGCATCTCCATGGAGACCGTCTCCACTCTGCTGAGCTGCACAGCAACAGGACAGGAAGTGATGTCACAACACACCCAAAAAAGTCCAAAATTACCAGAACCAGGTGAGAGCAGCGACCTGTAGCGGTGGTGGCGGTGTTTGTGGTTCCGGTCTCATGAGTCTCACAGGGGGGGTTGGAGCACACCTGTCAACACATGGACACACCTTTAGTTTCTCCGCATGGCCTGTCACAATAAGAGAGTTTGCTGGCCGATATATTGTCTCAAAAATTATTGCGATAAACGATAATATTGTTTGAAGACCTTTTTACATTGATTTAGTGGCATTAACAATAAATGTACTTGAATAAAAACTAAACAACATGAAGCCAAAGTGGAAATAAACACTGCATTCAACCAAAAGAGTGCAGATTATGAAGTCTGTATAGTTTATTGCCCTTCAGTAATTATTAGATTTAAATAGAGAAGAATCCGACTGAATGATGCAATAGTTCAAACTACAGGATTTATTACCCAGAACGACAATCTAAGAACGTTCTTCGTTCTGAGATTGTCACTCGTGTGTTACGGTAGATCGTTTTGTGTTACGGTAGATCGTTGCGTGTTACGGTAGATCGTTGTGTGTTACGGTAGATCGTTGTGTGTTACAGTAGATCGTCGTGTGTTGTGGTAGATCGTCGTGTGTTATGGTAGATCGTTGTGTGTTACGGTAGATCGTTGTGTGTTACGGTAGATCGTTGTGTGTTACGGTAGATCGTTGTGTGTTACGGTAGATCGTTCTGTGTTACGGTAGATCGTTCTGTGTTACGGTAGATCGTCGTGTGTTACGGTAGATCGTTCTGTGTTACGGTAGATCGTCGTGTGTTACGGTAGATCGTCGTGTGTTACGGTAGATCGTTCTGTGTTACGGTAGATCGTCGTGTGTTACGGTAGATCGTCGTGTGTTACGGTAGATCGTCGTGTGTTACGGTAGATCGTTGTGTGTTACGGTAGATCGTTGCTCCGATCTAAATCAAGGATTTATCCACAATGGGAGAGTGACGCAGCCTGTTGAATGTGACCGGTAGCCAATCAGAAAGCACGGATTCTCCTCCTGCTTTCTGAGGGGAAACACGGAGGGAATCCCGAACAGCTGACACGGTGCAACCCGAAGTCCAGCAGACATCGGAAACAACATGAATGTTTATTCAACATTTCATGCAAAGAAAATATAAATAACTAGGGGAGGAGTTGGAGCGAAATTTCTAGCAGAAAACCCGGTAACTTTTCAGCTGTTCTTCGTTAAGGTGACATAAATAGTTTATAATGATTTTCATTCAGTCAGACTGACACTAGCCACATGCATTGCAGGTAGATTATAGTAAGGAATTGATTAATGCCTGGTCAAAGTTAGTGAACTGGATTTATTATGTTGTGTCCATTGTTGGACACAACACGGTTCGATCGAACCGTTATAGCGAGGCTTTCTGTCGGCTAATGTGTCTCTCAGGTTTTGATAAAGGGCGACAATCGGCGACATCAGATGGTGCAGCGCGCTGGGCATTACTCTAAGAAATAAGGAAGGGAGGGTCAGTGGAGTTGAGCCTTTTTTCATTCAGTGTCATCAACAGTAAAAAAGGGAGGAAGAAACGATATAGACGATAATTGAAATGACGTTGATAGTTTTAATTTATCGTGCGATTAATTGATTTATCGTTTATCGCGACAGGACTTTCTCTGCATGACAAAACCTTCAGACTTTAACATGGCCACAGCACTCTCCCAAAACGTAAGGTCCAATCGGACCTGGTGTGGGCGTGGCATGCGTTACCATGGTAACCG